ATTAAATTTAACTTTTTTCGAAAGTTTAGGGGCAGTTTGTCCATGGCTAGAAAGAATTCTGTTAGTCAGTTAACGAAATGTTTGTCAAGTAGACTGTTTTGAAACAAAATTAATAGTTTATAAATTATTTAAAAAAATTATTTCTAAATTAAACTGAAATAAATCACATAATTAATATATTATAATTTAACTATTTGATGAAAATGCAAAAGATTGAAAGTTGTTACCAGTTGGCAAACGCAAATCATGCAAATTAACCCTTGAACTTGTTGGGTGGCAAAATAACCCTTCAACTGCATTTACTCGTAGACTAACCCTCCAACTTGCATGCGGTGGCAACATAGCCCCTCTAACAACTATGACGTTAAATTTAACTTTTTGGGTTTTCTGTTGACTTGACATTCTAGTCCTTGAACTTATTATTCTTTGAATCTTTTAGTCCTTCAATTTATATTAGCTAGGAAAACATGTTTTATTCTTATGTTGATAAAATTTTCAATTCTTCTAAAGCTAATGCTTTACAAACTCTATAAACATATCTTTCCCATAGTAAATCATCAATTCTATAGGGGATCATTCCTTCTTCTGCTATAATCTCCATTATATAGTTGATATGTTCATCATAGAATCTTACTAGCTTTCTTAATTATATTCTTAACAACATTGTTTTATGGCTCTAATACCAACTTTTTAACGGGTTTTTAAAACCTAACTTAGACTACTATTGACTAATCAGTAGCTAGTATGTTAAGTTCAGTTAATGAGGAATTGGATCTATTAGGCTACTAACAGAGATAATCTTTACTTAGCCTTTTTTTAATCTTTTTAGATCTTCCTTCAAATCTGTTGCTGTTCTGTTCAACTTTTTGAGATTCTTGAATAGTTGATAGTCATTTTCAATATTAGTTATTTTTCTAAAATTTTTACTATTTTATTTCTATATTATTCGCATCACTACTCATTAACTTTCTTATTTATAACAATTTCTTGAATGAAATCAGGCATCCTAAAATATAATGATTTGATATAAAAGTGAACTTTTCTATTTAAAATATAGGAGGTCAAGTACTATTTCCCCATCATTTCTAATCTCAAAAATATTCTAAAGTTAAAGAATAATAAAGTTGTTTCTATGCCTACCTTGCTTCCGCATGATAAAATAAATGAATTAAAACTTTACTTGAAAACCCTTTGGTCTAGCCTTCAGTCAAGCTAACACTTCCTTCATCCAACCTTGAATGCTAACTCAGGCTACAAGGGGTATTTGAACAGGACAAGTGACTTCACTGCTGCCTAAGTTTCTTCAGGGATTTTTCTCATTGTATTTTATGATGGAAATGAGGAAGGATAGAAACAAAAGTGCTGATATTTTTGGGGAGAGCATTTGACATAATAGTCAAATTTCCTTGAACTTTCTCCAAGTAACCCTACTGAAGGATTACCTTGTTCAAAATTTTCTTTTAGCTCTTGTTGGGTGCTTTTCTTTGCCATCTAGCTAAATTCTCTTGAGCTAATTTCGATGGTAGTAATTACTTTGGAATTCATTAATTTTTCTATCAGCTCTTTGACTTCTTCAAGGGCATCTTGTCCTTTATTTAATAACTCATGGCCTTTAATAATTTTTCCTTGGCCTTCATCTATGAGGTTATGGCCCTCATCCATTATCTCTTAGCCTTTGATCATTTTTTCTTGGCCTTCTCTTATTTGGCTATTGCTTTCAATGAGTTTCTTTTGACCTTCAAGAATAAAGTCTTTTCCTTTCTTTTGGAGTTTCAGAATCTCATCCATTAGCTTCTTCTTTGCTCAAGAAATCTACAAAACAATTATTAGTTGCTTTGACATGTTCAGTTTCAAAATCATATTCAACAAAGAAAGTTTGCCGTCTATTTACTCTTTTATATTTTAGTGTTAAAGGTAATTTATTAAAGATAAATCCCTTAACTTCAGTGTTATCAATTCTAACCTTAAAATGTTTTAGTAATAAGAAGAAAATGAACTTTTTATTTCATTTTTAATAGCCAATAACTATCTATGATTTGAATGATATCTAGTTTCTACATCTTTAAATGTTCCACTAGCATATCTACAAACTTTTTCTTGAGAAATTTTCAAAGCTGCTCCCCAATAAATATCTAAGGCATCACATTCTAAAATTAACTCTTCATCGTCTTTAGGCAATTGTAGCCTAGGAAGGCTTTCACAATATTCTTTTATTCTTTTCACATGATTAATATGATAAATTTCATATTGTTGACTTTCCTTTTTCCTAAGCAATTTTTGCAAAAGATGTCTTAATTAAGCTAGGTTTTGAATAAATTACTCTGCGTAATTTAGTATTCCTAAAAACCTTTAAATCTATTCTTTAGATTTTAATTTATTTAGGAACATCGAAATCTTCTCACTTATGTGAGACTGTAATTCTATTCCTATGGAATCTATTGTTAATCCAAGAAATTCAATTTTCGTTTTTCCTATCTCTGCTTTCTTTTCAGAAAATAATATTCTATGTTTCTTGCATAAGTATGCAAATTTCTTAAGATGATATAAATCTTCTTCCTCATTATCAGAGAAGATTAGTATATCATCTACATATACTACACAAAATCTTTTAATGGATGAAAATACATTATCCATCCTTTTTTGAAATATTTGAGGTGCATTTTTCAATCTAAAAGGCATTACCAACCATTCATAGTGTCTTGTAGGAGCATTAAAAGCAGTTAACGGAATACTTTCAGGGGTTAACTTAATCTGCCAAAATCTTGATTTGCAATCAAATTTTAAAAATATTCTCTTTTCTCTAATATTATTTATTAGAGCCTCTTTATATGGTAAAAAATAACCATCAAATTTAGTTTTACTATTAAGTTGTTTGTAGTTAACAACCATTCTATCTTTTTATTTCATTATGATTTCTTACTATAAAGGCATGGCTATTATGAGGACTCTTGAAGGCCTGTACAATCTTCTAGCCTATTAATTCTTGAATTTGCTTCTCAAATTCTTCTCTATCTTTGGGACTATATCTCATTGGTTTGATTCTAATGATAGTTCTTGAATCTATCAATTCAATGATGGCATAAGTTTTATCAACTTCCCATAATTTTGTAGGATCTTCTCCATAGTTGCTTCTTAATTCTTTTGAAATAGATTCTAGAGTTATTTCTTTTTGTGTTTTTTCATTATTCCATAATGCTAACATTGGTTTTTTTAATCTCTTTTGAACAAGTTTTTCTATTATCCTCACCACGTTGGGTGTGAAAATTTAATGGTTCTATTATTATAGTATAAGCGTTATATATTCTAGAGGCATAAAGCTAATGACCACAAAGGTGTATAGAATTTTACATTTGATGTTGTTTGAATATACTGCTTAAATTGGCTTATGAAATTGTTTCCTAATAGAATGTCATTCCCATGCTCATTACTTTCATAGATTTGGGGAATTATGACTTCAGTCCCACCAATTATGATAGTAACTCTTTCTATTATTGTTTGATATTGAACAACGCTTCCATTTATGGTTACACCTTTCATTGTTTGAGATGTTTGCTTCCAATAATGCTTTGGGAATACATTATTTTTTGCCAAACATATCCTAGATCCTGTATCTATAAAAGCATGAAAGAATTCTGTTTTGTATTCTTCATACTTTATTATAATAGATATATATACACTATATATACTAGTTTTCGTAATATCTTGGTATAATTACTTCTTTTCCACTTAAGGTAATCTTTACTCAATGTTCTTGGATATTATAACACTGTATTGATGTTAATAATGTGTTTCTTAGCATCAATTATGTACTTGCAGTCATTTCTGTTTCAACATAAGCTGTTACAGTGATTTCATGTTATATCTTATTCTTATTATTCTTATCCTTTATTCTGAGTAGTACTTTAGCATATTCATGTGCTGTGGTTACTGCACCATTAAAGTTGAAATATGTATATGGTTTAGTGAGTTCAAATCGTTGTACGTATGGGATCATATTTGTACGGATATGTGTTACTCTCGCTTTTGTATCAATTGAGATGGAAATGGTATGCCATTCCTTTCCATCGTAATAATCTCCCTTTATTCTAAAATGTATAAAGGGAATCTTTAAGGTGTCTAATACTACCTCATGTTTCATACTAGTTGTCGTAGTTAAGACTTTTTTGTCTTTCTTAAGCTTGCTTAAAGCTCTTAAGTCTATACTATTTCTATGGCTCGGTTTAGGTTCTGTTTTAACTAAGAGCCTTCCTGACTCATATGCCATTAATCTATGTTTTTTTCTTTCTCCTATTAGGAGTGGTTTTTCGCTAATGTCCATTTCCCATTCTTTGGGTAGTTTTATTTCAGTGATCATCTTTAGTTTCTGAATTTGTCCTATTTTAGAGAACATAGGATCTAATTCAATATATTCTTTACCTTTAAAAAGATTAGACTGATGACTATTGGTCAATGCATAACTTATTATATAGTAAATACTATATGGCATTGATCCATCTTTCATAAAATTTTCTCTAACAAACTAATGTGCTAGACTTAGTGTCTTGTTGATGTTTCTATCATTAATATTTACAACATACTTTGGATATACTGTGAACATAAGCTTTTGATAACTAAGGTTACCTTGCACTAATCCTATGATAGCATCCTTTCTATCGTTAATTATAATGTCTACTAAAGCTATCTTTATTGGGGCGTTTATACGTTCTCTACAATGAGCTTTAATAAGGATTTGAATTTCTCCTATATGGATAAATCCTATCTTTGATCTATCATATTCTTTGATTTTTAAAAATTATTTTCTATTTTTGCTTTAATGAGTAGAAGTATATTTATTATTCCTATTCTATTCTTGATAAGAATGCTATATTCTTTACTGGATATTCCATAATAAACACTATCCTTCCTCTTAAAAGGATTACTTATAAAGGAATTTGACTTGAATCCCTTTTCTACTACAAGATCCATTCCTTTTTGTTTGATTCGTTTATAGTTGCTTTTATCGAATACAATTACTTGACTATATTCTCCATAGCCTTCATATTCTTCAGAATAAGCTTCTCCTTCTCCAACAATTGGATTCATTGCTACTGGAAATGTCTAAACTTTCTACTTCATATATAGTTTCATTACTATTTATAGAGTTGGTCTCTATTTCGCTTAACTCTTCTTTATAGATTTTTAGATTTTTAGCACCTTTTCTTTTGTATCTTTTAGGACATTCATTTGCATAGTGTTCTTTTTCTTTACATAACTAGTATGTACATTTTTTAGGATTTCTTTTATATTTTCTTGGTGCCTTTGTTTTCTTAAAATATCTCTTCTTCTTTCTAGAATATTTATTCTTATTAAACCTTTGTTTATTATTTCTTTTGTAACTTTGGCTAGTACTAGATTCTACCCTTTATTGTAATGGGAATTCTATTGGAGTTATGTTAGATTGCCTCTCACCTTTTTCTTCTTCACTTTTCCATTTCTTCCTTTCCCTCTCTATGAATATTCATTTTCATATTTTCCAGTTGTTTGGTAGTTATAGTAATCTATCTACACAGATTGCCTAACTCTTCTACATTTTCTTCCTCTAAGAATCTTTGTTCCAATTCTTTCAAATTTTCTTCTTTCTTGAGTTTTTAACATAAAAAGTGTTATTCCCTTTGATTTAGGTTTTTTTTGTAAAAATCTTTGAAATAATCTTAAATTCTTCATTTCTTTTTACAATATTTTGTCTACTAGAAACTGATATTATAGTACTTGTGGGTCCTTAAGCTAAGTTTGGATTCTATAAAAATTCTTATCTACATCACTTTCCAATTGTGGGATTATTATTATACATTTTTAAGTTTTTATGCCTAATTTTTTAGTGATCACTTTTAATATCTTAGGAATCTCTTCTATTTTGATTTCTATATCTCTAATTCGAGAGAAGATGGAATCTTTGATAGACCTTATTTCTTTTCTTTTTTTCTTTTTTTTTTTCTTTCAAATCTTTAGAATTTTTAATTCTAGTTATCTTATTTTTGATAGACTCAAATTCTTGTGAAGGGGATTTTCTCATTTCTTTAATTCATCTTATAGTATTTTTATTGATAGTTTCTATTTTTAGAATTCTATCAACAATAATTATATCATCATTATGGATTATGTTTTTACTTGCTGTATTGAGTAAATACATGTTAATTCAGTTTATTTGTTCATTATTCATGTTGATTTTAGTAAATCAATTATTTCTCTTAATTTATTAATTCTTTATTCTCTAAATTTAATTTATCTATTATACAGTATTACTATGGAGTTTATTCTTCCATTTTCTTGTCTTAACTCAACTAGGCGATTTTCTTTCATTTCTGCTAGGATTCTTTCTTCAGATTGAACCACTTGCTCAATTTGATGACAAATATTTAGTATTGTTCTTGTATATGTGGCAATATCGCCCATTAAGACTTTTTTTTTGGGTTCAACTGTTGTCCCATCATTTATCCAAGGACTAATCTTGCAAGTTTCAATTTTATCCAACGCCCACATAACGTCTCTAGTTACTGTAGGGACTGACATGCCACTGATCTCTGAGTGCAGGGGGTGTTTTGCCACAAGTTCGACGGCTTAAAAGCCACCATATTGCCGGTTTGGGGGTTCATTTGCACCTTATGCCTTACCAGTAATGGGTTTCAGATAATGTCATGGTGACATAAAAGACAAACAAAATAATAAAATAAAATATATAAAAGAAATAAAACCGTAAATCCCAACTACGCCCAAAGAGGGTTTTTTTTTTCCTGGGAAATTGGGCGTTGTGTAGAGTGCGGCGAAGTTCAGGAATCAAGAGGCCTTAACTACGCCGGAAAAAATGGTGGCAATCGGTTCCAATGGCGGGATGTGGGGATGGAATCTTCCACCTAGAGGAAGAAAAAGGAAGCCTTTCGGATCAAACTCGAAATCCTTCAACTCGGCAGAGGGAGCGGGAAGAGGCCTGTATTGCTTCCCCTTAAAGCAAGCGGTGACGGCTGGCGCTCTTGCTCTCACTGGTGACACTATCGCTCAAATCAGGGACCGTTGGAGAGGAAAACGAAGTTCTGTCAAGGGTCCTAACGATGAGGTCAGTTTTTGAATTTGGTGTTAGGTTGCTGAGAAAGTGAAGAAATTGCCCTACCCTAGAACATGTTATCCTCCTCTATTTGCTTGTGCTGAAAATTCAATTTTTTTATGTACTAATACTAGTGCAAATTTCTTAGAGGTAGTAGTAGTACTTGGCACATTTTTGTCTGCTTTTCTGGAAAATAAGGTCAGAGTCAAATGGTGAGAAGAATTGCTAAGGTTTGCTTGCAGATTTATGCCCAACAAGGTATATATGTTAAAATGGAGCATTTGAATTTTGAGATGAGAGTGTTGGAATGAACTGGTGTCAGGGATAGGGTTCTAGACTTCAGAATCAGATGTTGGTCCAATTGAAGAAGCTTAGATATAGCAGTGGCAAGTGAAATATGAAGCTTTCTTTTGGGTTTTTGGCTGATCAGCTTCAGTTATGACAGATGACTGGTTAATCATTATGCCAAAAGACTTGATGTGTTGATAGAAAGAAAATCTTGATAACATATTCTTGTAGAAGATTGGAATTTAGATGGATCAGAGGATAGATCAATTAAGCAGCTCAGTAAAGGTTTTGTGAGTCGAGAACTTGGGTTTATGAATATTATCTTGTGCACCCATGGCCTACATATATTTATTTTACAAGGTTTGCTTGTGTTTGCTTATACCCTTCTTCTAATAACAGAAGTTTTTTACAGTCTGCTCTGCACTTAAAACCATCATTTTGGGGTTGGAAAAGACAAAAGTACCCATAATGATATCTCTGTTTTTCCGACCCTAGACTGATGCTTTTATGTACAAGGCAGATTTTTGGGCCAAAAAAAAAAAAAGTGTCAGGGAGACTGAAAAACAGTGTTCTGTTCTTGTGATTATATCTTTTTGCTCCCTTTTGGTAGGATCCCTGGACATGAATTGAAGCATGCTGAGATTCTTCTTTATTATATTTATTTCATATGCATTGTTATATGGTGCCTGACTGCCTATAGTTGTTTTATAGTTCAATTTTGACCAAAATCTTTCATTTAGGATGTCATCTTGGGAACCTTCTCAATTCATGATTGGCTTCGTGCCTTGCGGATGACTTCTTATGGATTTTTATTCTATGGTCCTGGTTCCTATGCTTGGTACCACTATCTTGATCATTGTTTGCCAGGGCTGACTGTTAAAAATATAACTCTCAAGGTACAATTATTCGTTTTTCTTTTACTACAGCAAATCACACGGGTCAAAGACCAACTTCATTCAGAATATACCTTACATTAGCTTAGTTTTAACAGGTCTTATTAAACCAAATAGTGCTTGGTCCTTGCGTGATTGCTGTTGTTTTTGCATGGAACAATTTGTGGCAAGGAAAGCTCTCTGAGCTACCAAAAAAGTATCAGAGAGATGCTCTTCCAACACTATTTAATGGTAAAAGACTCTTTTGAAGCAGTCTTTATATTAGCTTAAAAATATGGCTAGTTTCCATGATATTTGATATTCATTATTGATTCCTATACAGGATTTAGGTTCTGGATCCCTGTCAGCATGTTAAACTTTTGGTACGTCTTGGCTTTTATTTAGCGCTTTTTTTTTTTTAATATCAATATTTATGCTCATACCATTGGTTTATCCATGCCTTTGAAACACTTGTTCTTCCACATGTATAACTAACTTATATCTTACTTTTTTTCCATATTAATTTTGAAGGACAAAAGTTTCAACCCAATCATAGATTTGCTAGGTGGTTGTTAGGTAGGCCTAAACATGGGTTTAGTGGTCCCTTCTCCTCCAATGTAATCTTTTAAAATTAAATAATTAAATCGTTCAAGAAATTGCAATATTGGGTTGGTTAAACCTGGGACTTGCCATGCAATTTAGGAATTGGGTGTGTTTTTAACTTTTAGACTAGTTACGCACTGATAATCTGCGACTGCAAGCCTTCCTGGTGCTCCCAAAAACCATCCTAGAATTGATCCTCTAATGCCACTTCTAGGAAGTTCCTGCTTCTATCTGGATTGAGTCCCACTTTTGGACAATCAATTTCTTAATACTTTTTTTAACAAACTCAATCTATCTCAATAACTTGCAGTTTGATCAATTGGGTTCTTTTGGTTGATAACATTATTGTTCCATCTGTTTGATGGGTTTGCAGGGTGGTCCCTCTTCAAGCTCGTGTAGCATTCATGTCCATGGGTTCCATATTTTGGAACTTTTATTTGTCATCAACTATGAGCAAGTAGATTCAATGCGATGAGTTTCTATTTATTGGTGTAACATCAACTTTTGGAATTCAAGCTTGAGGTTTTTATATTTCTTCCTATTTTAATGACTCTAAGCTTATCATTTAGGGATGGCAATTTCCCTTGATCCCTACAAGGCCCCACGGGGCAAGGATAGGGGGAGTTTTTCCCCCGTGAATTTACACGGGGAATTTTCCCCGCCCTGTGGGGATCCCTGTCCCTGCAAAAAATTAAAAAAAAAAAAAATAATTTTATTTTAAATTTAATCCAACCCAATATATCAATACATTTCAAACCCAACTCAATTATTCATGTTGGATTGATCTTTATTTATGTTTGGACAATTGATATTTGATTTTACCACTTGTGTATTGACCTTATTGGTTAAAACTAATTTTATTTTGCAGTTTGCAAAGGTAGAATCTAAATGTTATTACTGTTGTACAAGGAAGAAATCCATTGGTTTAGTTATTTATATTGGATTTATCTTTGTTTATATTGGGACAGTTTATATTTGATTTTATATTTGGAAAACTTTAGTTAATTGTGTTTAAACTTTTAGAATTTTGTTCATTGTAATTAAATATTAGTTGATTATAGCTAAAAAAAAATTTATATTTTAGTATTCATTAGTGGGGAATGGGGATGGGAAAAATCTACCCTCTGCCAAAAATTCCCTTGGGGATTCCCATCCTTGCCTTTTGTGGGGATGAGGACGGGGAGGTACTCCCCAGCCTCATGGGGCCTGTTGCCACCGCTATCATCATTTATGGTGATTACCTTTCTACTCTTGTTAATATGATTAGCATAGCTATTGTTTACTGATATCTGGCAGCTGGCATAAATCATGCAAAGAGGCATGGGGACGAGAAAAATAATTTTGGCCGACATCTTCAGGACCCCTCCAATGAATTTTTGTCTTTCCCATTTCTCAGTCCTTATTATGATGTTATGAATGACTTTTATTTATTTATTTTTAACATAATTCTGACTTCACCGTGATCATATATTGGTTGTATTTTGCCTATAATTGTGGTTTAGAGTAAGAAATGAAGTTCCATAATTTCTGGCCTTTGGCTCCAGTTTATGGTGAAAGTATAACTTTACCACTGGCTTGGCGGGAAATCATCTGAAATTCAAGATGAAATTTTGTATGCATTCATTCTTCCATCTTTACATTTATAAGGATCTCGTTCCTCGTTCATGATTTAGAACCCCAAGACGTACTTCAAATGAAGGATCTTTTGCGTGCTTCGATGCTCATCTTAGGTTTTCATTAATTAACAAGAACCTTTGTTTTGAATTCTGCAAGATACATTGATTAGGTTTTTGTGGTGTTGAGCTTTCTAATCTTTATGAGCTTCATTTGCGTTTCTATATGAGCCAATAAGTCATGGCGAAGATTGCATCACTAGGGAGTGGAGAGTTTGGTTCCCATATTTCTTAAGTATTTTCGACTGGCAGCCGATGGTCCTTTACTAGTGTTTTATGACAAAGGTTAAAACTCTATTTGGGTATCTCTATTTTAATAAAAGTTTCTTTTTAGTCTTTCTATTTAAAAAAGTTTCCTTTTAGTTTCTGAAGTTTATTATCTAACCATTTTTTAATGTTTCTGTTATCTTTTTGCACACTTGTTCCTCTACTTTGGAATTTTAATTAGTCTTTCTATTTAAAAAAGTTTCCTTTTAATTTCTGAAGTTTATTATCCAACCATTTTTTAATGCTTCTGTTATCTTTTTGCACACTTGTTCCTCTACTTTGGAATTTTTATTATTTAACATGTTATTTGTGCAAAAATAAATAAATAAATAAAGGGACTAAAATTAGATCATATAATAAATTTTAGGGATTAGAAAAAACTTTGATTAAAGTAGAAGGACTAACATAGGTTTTAACCTATGCCAAAAGTGAGCTTCCTGGACATCTGTTTTGGAAAAAGGAGGATTAAATATCAATTTTAGTCCTTAAACTTTTAATTTTGAACACTTTAAATCATTAAATTATTTTTTATACTCTTTTTGCCCTCAAACTATGAAAACTGCACATAAGTTTAGTAACTGAAAATGTACATATATGATAAACAGACAAATGGATGGATTTAGTGGACTAACAAAATGACTAAAATAGTGCATTTTTCGCAGTTTAGGATTAAACAAGTGCAAAAAATAGTTCAAGAACTAAAGATGTTAAAAATTAAAAGTTTAGGAACTAAATTGTGATTTAACCAAAAAGGAATTAGTCCAAGGTGATTGTGGCGAAAGGACGCTAAAGTTAGTAATTTGATGCTACTTTGCTTTCTAGATTTATGAATGCTCCACCACAATCTCACTTTGGCACAGCAAAGAGTTTCGAGGTGAAAGAAACTTCAGATTATGGCGTCTGGTTTAAAAAGAGAGTGAAAATGGCACTGTTGAAGGTTACTTGGATAGTGACTGGGCTGGATGTGAAGATGACTCCAAAAGCACCTTCGGAGATGTGTTCTCTCTTGGTTCAGGTTTGTTTTCCTGGATTTCAAAGCAACAGGATGTTGTAACTCAGTCAACAGCTAAAGCTTAGTGTATCTTTCTTTTTCTTCCCTCCTTTTTATTTTTTGATAAGCGCTTGGTGTATCTTTCTTGTTGCTGCTAGAAATCAAGTCATCTAGTTGAGGAACTGACATTATATGGGAAAACAACAATCACAACCTATGTTGACAGAAAGTCTGCCATAGCCATAGTGGAAAATCCAGTCTTGCATGGAAGAACAAAGCATATCATGAGTATGTGAAGTCCAAATATCTAATGAAGTTTAACTTCAACACTGCAGCTCTGATTTTATTTGATTTTTTTCGGTACACCGAAGCTCTTCCCACGTCCAGGTTCGAAATGTGAGAGTATCAAAGTGAAACCTCAGAGGAGTGCTAATGCTGTAGACTTGTTTTTCATGTTCTTTCTCCAAACTTTCAAGTTTCTAACTGAAAGTTTGGGATTGAGAAGTCGTGTTGCCTTTTTCTAGGTTTCTTTGATTGATGAGAAAAGGTCAGGAGGGTGGTTGAGCAACTTGTGGTAAAAGTAAAGGCTTCTTCACTCCTGAAAGCTTTAGTGCTAAAAGAAAAAGGAAAATGAAAGAAGAGAGCATTCAGTATTGTCAAACAAAAGAAAGCGGAGTTCCTGAATCAGGGTAGGTGAATTGAATGGGCATGGAGATAAATTCATTAATCTTTCGAAAATAGGGTAACATTCACCTAGTCCATGGTCAAACAAATGTGCTCTGAGCCACTTAAAACAAAAACAAAAAGAAAAAGATACAAGAGAGAACGCTAAAAGCTTTAGCAGCAACAAGAAAGATGAACAAGGCTATAGCAGATGACTGAGTTACAACATCCTGTTTCTTTGAAATCAAGGTTGTACTGGAAATTTTGTTGGTCATTTTTCCCCTCTTCTTTTGTTTCAGCAATGCTTTTGCCTTCTTTCTGAGTATCCACCTTTATGTTTTCTAATTGTTTAGCGGTTTGAGTAATTTTGGGATGACTTTAAGTCTCTCGCCTCTATATTTCTTCTACTGCTTATATATTTCTTCTACTGTAAATCTCTTATAGCTTGTATATTTTCCTTTAGTTCATTAAGATTTTTGGAATTCTTTACATTTTTTATTCTTTCGATTAAATTTTTGCAAAAGGGTTTTCTCCATTTCTTTTATTTTTTAAAAGATATTTTCATTGATAGTTTTTATTTATAGAATTCTATTAGTAATCTTTATATGTTTTATACTAATTTTGCTTTTATCTAGTATTATGAGTAAATATAAGTTTTTTGTTTTTTGAACGAGTGAGTAAATACAAGTTAATCCAATTTATTTAAATACAAGTTAGTCTAATTTATTTACTCATTATTTATGCTGAGTAAAGTTAATTAATGATTTTTGTTTTCTTGATACATCAGTAGAAAAATCACTCAAATTCTAAGCCCTTAGGGACATAATGCTCATAGCATCACCCATCACAATGTGGTTCAAACCTGAACGAGGAGATGCAAAAAGAGTAACCCCGAGGAGAAGAATGTTCTAATGAAGCAAGGAAGTCGGTAGCAGCATTACCGCCTGAGAGTATGCCCAATAACTCATCAACGCTCTAGCGTCCATCACCAAAGCAGCCACTATACCATCTAGTTCCCTGATCTCAGTGGTGAATTGGACAACTACAAAGGAATCAAGCTCGGCGACCAGACGCTCAATGGCTAATGTGCGACAGAGACGGAGCCCTTCTCTTAGACCCCACAATTTAACCATAAAGCTAGAAGCGCTGCCTATGTTTGCAGCAAGTCCATGAAGCCAAGCACCTCGCGAATCTCTCACCCAACTTGCCAGCGCTTGCCAAACCTGAGTAATGAGAGCGGGAATCATATGTATTCAACTTTAAAAAGCCTTCATCAGGTGGCTGCCATTTTACCCAACGAATCTTTTGTACAATCTTTCTTCTCTAAATTGAACATGTCCATTGTACAATTGTACATTTCTATCATTTAAATTTATTCTTTTAATTTTTTGGACATTTAATCTTAATTTAGTTAAAGAATTTTCTTTAATTTTAGTTAGAATTCTTTCTTTAAATTGAATTAATTGCTTAATTTAATTACAAATGTCTAATATTTTCCTTCTACACGTGGCTAGCTTGTTCATTGGTTCTTTTTACTTTAGTAATTCGATCTTTAAAACTTTCGGGACTAATTAAACTATCACCTTTTTTTATTTTTTATTTTTTATTTTTTATCTTTCAGGCTAGTCCTCTAAATTGTTTGATCATTAATATTAATGGTCTGGTCCTTTCACGAGTTTGCAAAACTTTAGGGTGTTGACTGGGAGGACAAATTTTGTTAAGGTGTTGACCACAAAATGAAAAATATCTAGGTTGTTAATAGAGAGTTTGCTCTTATTCAATATATGATTTTTTAATTCTAACCTTTTAAGAAAATGTAAAAATAAATATTATTTTTAATATTGTTTTTCCAAAAATCCTTAGCTGGTCTTAATCCCGTGAGTTTAGGAATAAGACGTGTTACTTGCTTTGTCTAAAAACAAGAAAATATGATTTTCCAGAGGACTCTTTTTCTTTTTGACCTCTAAATGGATGATTAGAAAGAACATCTGTGAAATTAATTATGCCCCAATTAACATTGCAAAATAGAGGGTGGTATTCTGCAAAATGGGTTATTAATTGTCTTGGATACTTCCAGAAACTTTACAATTACTAAAGTGTAATAAAAGCTATAAATTCTAAAATAAACACAATGTCCTAAAGCAACTAACTTAACACAAAATAAATACAAGAAAATAACATGCCACTGAAATAAACTTGCAGAAAATAGATTGTGTAGGATTACACATACTAATTTTAACTTTACAATCCATAATAATTAACCTAATTATTCACAGACTTAAAATAAAACTAATTGAACGACTTGATACCTAAAAAACTAAAAGAAAATCTACGAATTGATCAAAGTCTGGAAACTTATAAAATTAAATATTAATTTAGAAATTGAAATTAAACAAACTGCAAGTCTCGCAGTTGCATAGAAGCAAAGGAAAGAAGGCAAAAAGCATTCAACCTGTTTACATAAACAAATAATAAAGATGAATCCAGAAAAGAAAGAAAAACTAACCAAATTAACAGCGCAGACCTATTTTCAAGGTTGATCTACTTCCAAATCCTTAAAAACTAACCAAAGTTGCAATGTATGAGGGAAAATACAAGCAAGGATGGGAAAAACCTAAACTAAAACTATGAACAAGAACAGATCTTGCAATTTAATCTAGAAATTATGCTGAAATTTGGAAGAAACAGTTTGACAATTGAAAAAGCATATGCACAAGGCAGTTTTCCATAGGACAGGCTGTGCAAAACTGATTTTTTCCTTTTGTTTTCCTTTTCTTCGATGCTAGGAACCTCCCTTCATGATTTTCGGTTCTCTCCCACCACAGACGGAGAGTGGGTGCTCCATGTTTGAAGTGGTTTTCTTATGTTGGCAACTGACAGTTTTAATTTAATTTTAACTCTAATAAAACCCTAGAAATAATCTTCTCCTAAAAACTCTCAATCTCCTAATTTAAATCAAATTCAACCACCAAAAACTACCTTATCATTTGCCACATAAATCCAGCTCCCCTTAAATTTCGTATGGGCCATAAAACTTAAGCTCGTCCAACTCAATCCATTCCGTTGACTCTTTTTAAAGATTGTGCCTAAATCTAACACATGGCCTCATCTCATTGGTTTATGTTTAGGTGTAAACAAATATTAATACCACATTAATTATTTAAATTGAATAATTGATAAATTTAAAGTCAACTTTTATTTTTTATGTAAATTAATTATAAAAAGTTGTAATTAACATACTCTTAACATGTACTCTTAAGATACAAAATTAAAAAAATTCTTAAATAAATTAAGTACTTTAATTAGTCATATACTTTATTTCATTATTATAAACTTATAAAACCACCACATGATATTGTAATTATATCATTTTTGTTACAATTATAATTAACATTAGAGATAATTTCATACCCAAATGCCTATAGTGGTTTGATGGGCGAACAAAAAAAGGCCTATCGTGGAGTTATAAATTTCTCACTTGTGGAGGTTAGCTAAGAATCCAAAGTATGTAGAATTTTTCTAATTTGTATTCTTTCAACAAAAGTTAAGGATATAATTATTGTATTTTATTTATATTAATAATTATTAAAAATA